TTTTTGGTTATGCAATAAATGAACACCAATCTTTACAGCACTACTTCCAATTGCCTCATAATCTCAACTTTCCTCTTACTTTCTTTACATCATTCTAGAAAAAAGTTTTTTATCCCTTCCAAGTTCTGTACAACGTCTAATTTGAATATTCACGGCAAGATTTTTAACTTTATTAAAACAATACCTGGTCGTATAAAAATGTGTAAACAAGAATAATTCCATATTTTTCACTTTGCCTGACGTGGCTTCTTTTTCATAGGTTCTTTTAAAGCATTAGAACGAGAAAGAAAACTAACCTGACCTATGTGTACTGAAACAGCTGCTGAGAAATCAGGAGAACTTAAAAAAAAAATGAAGGCCTTTGAAAACAGTTGCTTTTAAATGCCTTAAGTTCGCGCCAACTTTAAAAAACCATCTCACGTTTTGAGACAAAGCCATAAAAAAATGAATCTCTCTAATAGCCTATTCAGATAGGTATCAACAAAAAAATAAAATAAAAAAATAAAAAAACAAAAACAACAATTCAGAGAGAGCAGATTTCCGCGCATGATTCACAACCACAGACTTTCAACTTGGCAAAATTCACTTGAAAATTCTTCTCCAAGAAATTTCAAGTTATATAAACAGTGACACAAGGTGTACCGCTTGCAACTTAGCAGAAGATCTGTTTAATAAGTGTCGTAACTAAGTCTGTGAAATTTACAAATTTATTTCAGAATATCAAGGCTGGAAAGTTAATCTCCAAAAAAGTCAGCCTTAAAAAAATCAAACATTAAAACTTTTATACTTCTAAATAAGCACTTTGAAAACGTGTCGACGTTCCGAAAAGCTGCAATACCAACTAAAAGTACTGTATTACGACTGACCCTGAAAATCCACATCCTCAGTTCCACAACTTTTTCAATTGATTTCTTCCTGGCAGACATTCTGAGCAATCTGGAATTTATAATCATAGCCACCAAATAATATAAAAACATTCTGTCTTAGAGAAACAAGAGGAATACTCTACAGCTGAATAACGCATTGGAATAAGATATATAAATATATATAGTAATTTCTACTGCATCAGACGATTTGAGCACTAACCATTATAAGTTTCCAAAAAGATTTTCCTAACTTCTTCTAAGCTATAATACAGTACGCTTATTACTCAAGTACCACATCACTCTTCAGAAGCAAAAAGAAAAAACTACAATCAGAAAAAAAATGTCAGTAAAGTAGACTTGTAGTATATCGCAGCTCCCCCTCCCCCAAAAAGTCGAAACGAAATCTTATGTAAGCCACATACATCTAATACACTAATTTCCCTAACAGGATGTCAAAAAGTTAAGCTGACCGAGTTCCCAAATTATTTACAATTCCAGCTACAATTTTAAAAATGTGCCAATTCAGCATGAAATGATGGACAAAGTTGGTAGTCTATCATCAGAACTTGACATAAATGCTTATCATTTCAATTAATGACTTTAATCAGTCTTCACTGATTTTTTACGCAGTCGAACTTCGCGATCCTACATCTCCAACACATTAGCGTTTCAAACCTGTAGAAAACTTCAAACTGCCATCATCTTTGAAATTCAAACTTTAAATTCATTTTTTCACCACTGAGTTCAACTTCGACAATAATTAATTCCAGATGGTTTACGAAATTTCAAAAAACCACAAAACTTCCTATTGTTCTCTGTCTCAGTCCTTTTTTCAAATCTGCCTTCATACTACGATGAAGTTTAATTAGTTCCCGCTGGAGTTAGCAAACAAGAAAACGCTTTTCAAAGCAACTTGTCAGGAAAGTGTACTGCCTTCAGTAGTTTTCAGCAGCCTTAACATCGGCATTTAAGAGCTAGCCTCCGTACCCTTTCACGGACATCCGTGCTCTGCAGTCGACAGTCCCGTTCCAAATCCGGAACGAAGTACCTATTAAGTGAAACTGGCATCCTTTCCATACCCTTTTCACTTTTCTCAAGAATACTCGCGCATCCACTTCTCGGATTGTTTCCCCCTACGGTATAACAGTCTTTACACTGTCACAACAAAAAATGAATTACTGCTTAGATTTTAACAACTAAAAATTCATCTCATTCAAACACTTTAATAACAACTTCAATCTCAGAGAAAGCAGAAGCCTACGACTACCACTTCAAATACAGAACTTCTACCTC